CTGAATTAGGCTCCTTGGTTGTAGCTTAATTTCTGATGTAATTTCACCCTTTCTTAATTCATTATGGCCTGTACTATGTTGTAATAACTTATGAGGTTCTAGTGAAAAGGGGAGGGTCACTTATGTATGCATACGGGTAGACATCATGATCTTAGGTATTTATTCCTGCAATCACAGCCTGTTTTACTTTTGCATTTCATATAGAGATCCTAACTATAGGATTCTGCACTTCTATATTTCATATAGAAATCCTGAGTATATGATTCTGCACTTATGCATTTTATATATTAATTATGCCTATATGTTTTCCGCACTTCTGCATATATAGAGATTATGTCTATAGGTTTTCTTCACTTCCGCGTATCATATAGATAACCTGTTTATAGGATTTTGCATTTTACATCTATCATTAGGCAAACAGTCATAGGTTAAATAATAATCAATTGCATTCTAGATACCATGTCTATAGGACACCTGCACTTTCATAATCGTTTTAAAACCAACAACGCCTAGAAATCATGCCTATAAGAGTAACCTTTGAATCTGATTCGCTTATGTCATCTGCAAGTTTAAAATCAATTGCAATGTTGTCTAAAATCTGCGGAACTTTCGTTTTTTCTATAATAAGTAAGTTTTCTTTAAAATCAGAGCAAGCACTGTTAGATATCATGCCTATAAGTCTCACTTAGGCAAACCATTAGGTAATTAATTAACTGCATTAGTCTTTGATAAATTACAACCAGGGAAGGCTAATTCGGACTCCTCATCTGAGAAAGCCTATCCCACGCTTTAATTTGATTTCAGACCATAACCAGTACATACAAGACATGCTAAACAATCTATCTTTAAATGAGGAGGCATGTTTGAGCCCGTTAACTGTTACGTGTTATCCCATACTTGCCTTATATGTTTTGATTGTCGCCCTAGAATTTTATCCTTTTAAAACTATGAAAAGCCAAATTTCCCTTTCCTTTAGGACTAGTAGTCCCAAATGCCTCCGGGACTGATAGGATTGGGGTGGGTACTAGCATGCAATAAGTAACGATACCATTCCACGCTTTACTGCCTTAACGGGGTGGGAAGGGTAGATATGGATATGATGACCGGTGCGCTAATACCACGCGCAACCCCTCTTCTGAGGAGCGATTGCCGGGTATTGCATTGATGTGATCCATATTATTTGTAAACTTAGGACCCCCTTTCCTTTTAACTTGTCTTATTGTCCGAACTATTTCTGGTTTCCTTATTCTCTCCAAACTTTCAATTTGCTTGCGATAATATGGGAAAATCCCCTTCTATTTGAGCCCTTAATTGCTTATTTGATTATGTGAAGTCACAATTGTAACATGGCCGGGAACCACACTAGTGGATCTTGAGGGGTACCTAACACCTTCCCCTCGAGATAATTTCTAGCCCTTACCCGAACTCTGGTCCTTCAAACTCAAACCTTTCTTAGTGTCCTAATGCACTTAATCATTAGGTGGCGACTCTTCAAGTTCCAAAACCCAATTCCCAAGAGGGAACGAGTTATCCTCCTAAATGTCACAAGCCCGATTTCGCGAGAAAAAGGGGGCACGACAGAGCATGAGGCTTGAGATAACTTAGCATACTATTGTTCGAATGCCTGCCTCAAACCATAGAGGAACTTAAGAAGCTTGCAGACCAAGGAGCAGAAGAGGAAGAGGAAGGAATAGACAGACCAGGAGGCAACCTCATAAAGACCTCTTCATCAAGATCACCATGTAAGAAAGCATTATTAATATCAAGTTAAAACAGAGGCCGGTGTTGTTTAACAGCTATAATAATTAAAGACTTCATGATAGACATTTTGACAACAAGAGAAAAGGTTTCATGAAAATCAACCCCCTCAACCTGAGCATCACCCCTAATAACCAACCTTGCCTTATACCTTTTCAAACTCCCATCAGCTTTGTACTTGACTTTATATACCCATTTGCAATCTATAGGCTTCTTGCCAAGGGGTAGTTCAACAATATCCCAAGTTCTATTAGCCTTCAAAGCCTCAAACTCCTTTCTCATGGCATCCTATCACTCGGGGACAACTGCTACCTAAGAGTAAGTATAAGGCTTAGGAATATGGAGCTGATGAGTGGTTACCTTGTAGGATGCAGACTTAGAGCCTAAAGAAGGAGGAAGGGTGGTGCGGACATAGTCCTGAAGGTGTCCACGAGCACCGTGAGGTTTGCTAGATCTTCTTAGTGGAAGTGGAGAGGAAAAAAATAGGATCAGAGGTAGAGCTGGAACTGGGAGAAGAAAGAAAAGGAGAGGAAACAGGAATAAAAGAAGAAACACGAGAAGAAGGGGCAGACTAAGGAGAAGAAACATGGGCAGGGAGAGAAGAAGGAGAAAACTGACAATCATCAAAATAGGTAGGAGAAAGAGCATGAAGATTATGGGAGGAATCAACAGAAGATTTTAGAAAAGGGAAATATTTGTTCATGAAAAATCATATCTCTAGATACAAAACAGTTTTAAGTTGCTAGATTATAAAGCTTATAACTTTTTTTGCCAGGACGATATCCCACAAACACATAAGGAATGGACCTAGGATGAAACCTATCCCTGTTGGATTTAGGCACAACAAAATAACAAAGGAAGCCAAAGGCCTTGAGATGAGGGTAGAGAGGAGCTTTCCCAAACAACAATTCATAGGTACTTTTATGATGAAGAAGAGTAGAAGGGAATCTATTAATGAGGTAGGTGGCAGTGAGAAGACGATCACTCAAGAACCTAAAGGGGAGATAAGACTGAAACAAAAGAGCCCTAGAAGTTTTCAACAAGTGTTTATATTTTCTCTCCACCACACCATTATGTTGGTGGGGTATGAGAACATGAGGTCTGATGCACTATACCCTTCTTGGAAAACAAAAGAGAACCAGAAGAACTGGTACCCAACTCCCAAGCATTATCACTTCTGAAAGTCTTTATCTTAGCTTGAACTATGTTTCAACATGGAAATGAAAGCTTTTAACAGGTCAAAAGCATTGCTCTTTGCCCCCATTAAATGTGTCCAAGTTGCCCTGGTGTAATCATCAACTATGATTAAGAAATACTTGGATCCAGTGTACATGGGTGTAGGGTAAGGGCCCAAGTGTCTATATGGATGAGTTGAAAGGGATGAGTGGATTGAATAGAGCTATTAAGGAAGGGCAACCTAGTTTGTCTTGTCAAAGGACAGATTGGACATGTAAAAGGTTGCTTAGAAGATAAATTGCAAGTAAGTCCAGAAATAAGTTTTATTTTAGAAAAAGGAATATGCCTAAGCATGTAATGTCAAACAATTTTATCTTTACTCATTTTATTAGATTTATCAATGGTATTTACAAGGGAATTCTTAACATCAACACTAGCAGAAACTGTAGGGACAGAACAAGAATTAAAAGAAATAGAATCAACAATAGATTGACATGATAAAGTAGTGGCATGTTGAAATAACATGTATAGTCCATTATCCGATCTACCAAGTACCACTGGCTTCTTCATTGAAGGGCACTGTAAAGTACAAGAAGACTTGGTAAACTGTACAATATTATTATAATGAAAAAAGACCTTGTATACAGATATGAGATTGTGTTTGAAGCTAGGAATGTAAAGGACATTGTGAAGGACTGATTCAGGAAATAAAGCTAAAGAGCCAACATTGGTAACTTTTATTGTATAATCATTTGGAAGAGACACAAGGTAGGGAATAGGTAGAATGATTATATCAAAAGACAAACTTTTAATGAAAGTCATGTGATCAGTAGCTCCAGAGTAATGTTGTATTCTGGGTCGGGCCCGGGCTTAAATGGGCCAAACGGGCCAGGCTTAACGGGCCTGGACTTAGCGGGCCTGGGCTCTGGCAGTCCCGGGACTCACAGTCCCGGGCTTCGTGGGCTCAACGGGTGGAACCAGCCCGTGACGGGCCTAAGCCCATATGGTCCTAGGCTAAATGGGCTGGGCTCGTGGGTTTAGCGGGCCTAACGGGCTTTTTTATTTCCGGGCTTTTTTTTTAAATTTTTTTTGTTTAAGGCAATTTCTTGTAAACCATATCATGGCTATATAAAAAAAATATATATGTAGTATATATGTAGAAATCTAATTATTAAAGTGCTTGACAAAAAAGTAAAATAACAAAACAATAGTAAAACTAAATTGCCATGCATAATAAATTAATAAGAAAGTACAACATGAAGCATAAATACGTCTAATAATTTTAAAATAACACAAATTGTTGAAAAATCTTAAAGACGAATTTGCGGATAAATACCACCAACACAATACGTTATATGCCTCCTTAAAATGCATGTGGTACACCCTGAACGAAAATTTAAGACTCTTCCACAGTTCTTGCACTTTAATATTTGGCCTTCTTCATTTTCTTCAAGCACTTCATAGTAGTGCGAAACAAATAAGCGCACTCTTTCCGAACGAGGCATGATGTAACTTGAAAATTAAGATTGAGACTTGAAGTCTTGAAAATTGGAGATTTGGAGATTGAGAGAAATTTAGATTGAGAAATGAGTATTGAGTATTGAAATGAAGAAGAGGGAGGGGGTATTTATAGTGTTAGAGAAGGTTAGTTTTGTAAACTGAAAAAAATGGCTATTTGTGCAATATGGCCGTTGGTGGTCATTNTTCTTGTAGTATATATTATATGTTATGTATATATATTATAGCTTATAAATAATTGCAAGTTAAATACAAAAAAATATTACAAAAAGATATTCAAGGGCATGTCTTATAATTTTTATTACCAAAAATGACATATCTTTCTTA